GCTTTAACTATAAAAAGATGTGTGTTTAACTTAATTTACTAAAATGATTGATGCCATAACAGGTAAAAGATGATGCCTTTTAAAAATATGGTAAGATAATTTAAAAAAAACAACCCTAAAAGACTGCCGGATAATAATTCAATGATTATACAAATTAGGAATTCTGTAGGCAGATTCAAAATGCCTGGCCACTCATTTCCTCTCTAGGCCAAGTTATGTTTCTTTTTTTAATAAGAAATAAGGAAAGTCAGCAAACAAAATGTCACCATTAAATCATTTGGCATCATTTTCTGTCAAAAATGTAATGGAAAAAGCACACATCATAGAAAAGGTTACTGCTCTTCCAGAACATCTTTTCACTTGGTTCAGGGCTCATTCCTTTCCACCACAATATAGACTCAACTGCTACTTGCTCTCTGCAGGCTTAATGTGGCAGATGAAGGATGATGGCATTTCCAGCAGACCACAGTGTAGTGATTTTAGTGGTTATCTGAGTGAAACTGATGCTATGATTTAGAATAACTGCTCTGTTTATGTGCAGTGGTAAAAGTCACTTACTACACAGTCTTGCAACGTCAATTCATTGCTTCTATTATATATTCCTTTAGCAGCTTCATTGCAGACACAACTTTCAGTGGAAATTAAAGAAATTGCCTACAATGCTTTCCAGCTCTGGAAAAAGAAAATATTTATAAATTTGGGACAAGAAATCAAAAATAAATGCTTCACAAGAATATTAATTTTGTTTTAGTTAAAATACTCATAATTGTGAACCACCATTATACCATAGTAGAATATTACAATTATACAACATTGTATAATTGGGAGACAGTAGTATTTGGAAATTTCATTTTCAAAATTCAATTCTTATATGACTTGCACTAAGAATTCATTTTGTTTAATTTATATTTAAATTGAACATTGCATAAAACACCATACTTCCCCTTTCCTTTTTAAATCATACAAAACTAAGGTTGACCACATCATTACTAAGAGTACAGTTAAATCTGCCTCTTCATATTACCTATCCTATCAATTTTGAGCTCTAACAATTTATTATTTATTTCATATTATGGGTATTTAAACCATATGTGCTTTTAATGTATTGCATTTATGATGATAAGCAAAATAATTCACTCTTACATGATGATTTGTTTATATAGCTCTGGCTATAATTATAATGATAAAAGAGTACTATACTAAATGGATAAAATTTCCAGATTCTATGAATACTCAAACATCTATCAATATAATCAATAGATTAAAAAAATTTCACGTTAACTTATTGACTTAACTTCATGCATATGAGATGGATGGCCTATAAATTTACTAAATAAACAAACACATAATAAATAAATGGACACGTACAATGAATAAAAATATAGTTTATTCCATCTTTTTATATATTTCAAATGTCATTCTCTCTTCCTCACATGAGGGTTAAAAAAATTCTAAAACAATTTTTCAAGTTAAAATATGCCAATATTATAATTTTGTTATTAGTTTACAGCAATTTTTATTTGCAAAAATAAATTGTATTCCATATCATTTAATTTCTGAAATGTGGAGGTCACAAACTCAAAATAAAATTTTATAGATACAAATTCTACAGATGGAAATTCTTATTGGGTTGTTTTTTTTTGAAGTTAATATACCTGACAAAATAAAATTAATCAAGCAAAAAGAAGGGAGAAATAAGTGGCAGGGCATGGCTCTCAGTGTTAATGTAATATTCCACATTTGATAATAATAATGAAAAAAGATTTCAAATACTAAAATGATTCATATGCATTTGCAGTAATTCTCACATGGCTATGAAAATAAATGATCTGTATTTTATAGAACAGTTATCTTAAACAAAACTATTCATTTAAAATATCTCTAACATTCTGATATTGTTCTGTACATTTTCATGTTTTTAAAAATAAATAAATAAATGAAAATTTCATAAAATTCGATGATGAGGATCTAAAGAATCATTTAACTATTTAAGTGAATGCAATGGCTCCCTGGATATGTTTCTCAAACAATAACCTATCTATCCTTGCTTCTCTACTTGGCAGCAATTCATTTTTGAAAATGAGAAATCTTAGAAAAAAGTAGTTTCCACACCTGGCAGATTCCAATATGATATGTACATATTTCTATGGGTCTATTTCCAAAGGCAGAGCAAACCCTGATGAATGAGGAAGACATGTTCCATTTCTCACACTTCCTTATAAATTAGGCATATATTGCTGGGTACCTTCCCATATAAACAAAATTTCTAGTAAATATATTGACCAACTATATAATTGGTGAAAGGTCGGTTTTCAAAGTTATAAAAAACTGAAATAACATTATGGAAATAAACAAATGGAAATTTATCCCATCATCAATTAAGAGAATCAGCTCCTTTCTGGTACATCCTAAAACGTTTAGGAAAAGAAATAGAAATATAAAGTCTCAATATGAAAATTGGTTCATTTGCTAGAATTGTTTGTACTATTACTCTTTCCTCTTAATAAATCTTGCTAAATAGAATTTTGTGAATTCATGCATAAAAAAGGTTACTTTCTTTTCAGGCAGCTATCAAGGGACTAACAATCATAATTGAAAAATAAATAAATTACAGAGCAGAGAGCATAACATAAGAGTTTGAATTTACAGCTGTTATCACACACTATTTTTTTAAAAAAAGGAATCAGCATTCAGATTATAAAAGTCATATACCAGCAATTTTAATAGCACTGTTAATTTTTCAAATCAACTAGGGAAGTGTAAAGCCCTGCAACTGATCATATACACTATCTTAACTAAAGCCTTCCCCTGAAGCAGAAGATTACTTCATTCTATATTTCTAGTCACTTTTCAAAGATGGAGCTAAAGATGTTCTATGATCCTTTAAAAAAAACCCAGCAGCATTTCTTTAACAAAAATAGTATCCTACTGATAATAAAATTGAAAACAGTCTTGACTACTGGACAAAAGAAATAAAATTTAATACTTGGAATCATATGCCAAAAATATTCCTGTAACGCCATACAATAAATAAATGTGTTTGCCTTAACTAGTAATGATGTTCAAAGGCCACTGGAAATTAAAATCTGTGAATGAAGTTGTTCACAGATAAAATAAAATCATGTATACCTTTTAAATAACTTGGGATAAAGGTCTTATCTCAAATAAAAAGCCAAAAAGATAAGCTAGATTTATATGTTGTACCAAAATTATCAATATAAAACAAGATGCAACATAAAACACTGGCAGGCAGCTATACCGGCATGAACACTGAAGCTTTAACATCTAAAAAGTGTATATAAAAGCAGTTACACACTAAACACAATTTGCAGTTATTACCACCTTACAGGTTTATAAAAATGTTTTTTCTTGTAAACCATGCTAAGACTCTTGCAGACAGTGCACAAAACAAGAATGGAATTTTCTAGAACCACACTGCTACTATCAAGGTAACTACAGTAAATTATCCCACAATAGAGCAGATATACACAGGAAATCATACTTTCAAAGAAAGGGCAAAAGGACAGTCATATAGTAGCAGCTCCTACTATTAACATGTTATGTGATGTGCAAGGCATTAAAAAAATAAAAAAAAATAGCTGGACCTTGTGTTACTTTCTAAAGGGCTTAAGAAAATGAAATTCAGAATATATTTTGTTGTCCACAAATATTCAGGTATCATATATGAGAAATTTTCCCTCTGAATACAATGTTTCATTCTTCCTAGTTTGTCCCCTGAACCATCAATATTCAACATGAGCATGGTTCCAACTTTGAAATTAATCATTCCTTATATTGAGGTAGATGTGAGGTGCTAAAAAATATCACAAGTAAAATGTCATTTTGAATTATTTGAAATGCTGAATTATCATAAACAACCCTGCAATGCCATTGGGCTTTATGTAGCTCATTGGAATTAATTTGTTCTTTATTCTCTTTTTCACACTTATTTGTTAGACACCAATAGCTTTAAGATTTTTTTTTATATATATTCCTTTGTTTATCAGTATCTAGAATATTACTAAATGTTTTATTTTTTAAAAAAACCTAATGAAATTAAAACTATTTATTTATATAATGATCTTACCCTAGGATTTTCAAAACATTGCACTATCCAATGAAGTAAAAAAATTGGGTTTGATTTATTTCAGTTCTCAACTAAAGCCATGTCTTGAATCATTCCATTTTTGAAACTGACAATAAGTTACATAATTAAAGTTGGAATTAAGAAGTATCAACTATAAATCATTAGTTGATCATTATATTTTTAATCTGAATCATGAAATCTATTTATAGATGAATGCAAATGGATTTTACAATTCTATAAAACTGGGGACAAAGTAATTGGAGGAACAAGTTTTAATTTTTATTTACTTTATTTACTATATATTCTGTCTTTATTATTTTTTTTGTAAATAACTCAAAGCAGTTTATACCTAATTCCTTCCTCTTCTGAATTTCCTCACAACAATGAACCTATGAGATCAGCTGTGCTGAGAAAAGTCACTGACTCAAAAGCACCCAGCCAGTTTTTCATGGCAAGAATAGGACTAGAACTCACAAACTCCTGTTTTCTAGTCTTGGAATAAAAATACTTCAGTTTGTGGACATCAGTATAACTTTTAGATAAGTGAAAACTAACTTCATACATAACTTGTGACAGAAAATAAAACAGATCCTGTATCACACAGATGACTGGCTTTTTATATTTTATGTCCTGTTAAAAGACATAGTAATTCACCCCGACAGAGAATTAATTCTATATCTGAAACTGACAGGTAAACATAGAGATCCATTACATTTAAATCCACAGAGAAAACCTGTGGCAAGTCAATTAGTGGATATAAGTGGATCAAATCATTGTTTCTGTGGTATGCATTCCCCTTAAGTCAACTGGCCTTATTCAGTACTTTAAGAGTTCATTCATTACAACCTTGATGAGAAAATGATGAAAGTGGAACTTTAATTTCCTTTGGAAAAGATTATAACATTAGTCCTACCTGACTAGATTTTCATTGTCTCCAGTTCCTTTACATGTAGCACATTCTGTTCTTAAGTCCTCAGATTTTGGCTTCTTTTGTACGACAGATTGTCTTTGTCTTCTTTCTCTTGGAATCCGTTCCTATTGGAAGGAGAAGCATCAAATCAAAACCAAGGAAAGGTTTTAGCATTAGCAACATTACTTCTTACTCTTGACATTTTTATCTAGTCAATAAAAATGAATAAAATTACAAGATTCCAACCTCAGGTTTTTCTTCCTCTGGAAGATAGCTTCGTTTTCGTCCTCTAGTTCTCTAAAAGTAAATAAAATTTAAAATTAATGCATTTCCAGCTGAAAAAAATCCAAACCAAAGTTTTTATTTGAATGTATAACTTATTTTTGTAAGTTCTGTATTCAAAGAAAGTCTTTGAAAAACAGTAACAGTAACAAAAGTCTTCAATGAAAACAAAAACATCCAATAGTACTGAAAATATTGAAGATTCAGGTTACATCTGGAAAAGTAAACCAGAAAAACAGAGAGGAAAGTTAAGATGCAGATAGCTATACAAAGTCTATGAAAAGGATTATTTGGTCCTAAAAGTTGACTGTATAGCAAGAGGACTTAGCTGAAAACCAGAAATGGGGAACAAAGAAAAGGAAATATCACAGATGCCTATAGCAAACTAATGCCAGAACACTGACATGTATAATGTCATATAAAAATCCCATTTTATATACTTGTGTGCTGGCCTCTGATACAAGTATGTATGTTATATATAATCAGAAACTGATAAAGGAGAATGCTGGTAGTCCAGGATTGAAATAAGGGGTCCTTGATGGACTTGGAAGCCTGGCACTCTGACAAATCAGCCATCAATAGACACATAGATGTAAACAACATCTACATACTGTGCAAAAAAGACAATAAGTCAAAAAGGGGGGGGGAAACAAAACACCTCCTGACTAGCAATCAACACCCAGATAAGCACAGATTAATACCAAGATTAACATCAGACCAACAATCAAGAAGTGATACCCCAATACCCCATCAAAAAACTGTCAATAGGAAATAGCCCAAACAAAAAACACCAAGACCACTCTCACCAACATCGAACATAAACTGAGAACAAACCCCACTCCCCACTAGCACTGCTGATATTATTTAGAGAGACATTTCTCATAATAAGAAATGTTTGTCATTTTTACCCCCCACCCCAATGTCTTCTGAAATGAAGCCCATGGGGAAAATACCACTGCCAGCATTGTACACTGAATTGGTTCTTCTGAAATATATAGAAGAAGCAACTTGTATCAAAGCAAAGACATTTTTGTGGAGATATCATTTTCGTATCTCATTCTAATAATCTATGTTTAGATGATTTTGGTAAATAAGTAGATAATTTTTCTTTTATATAAGAAAATGAATTTAAAATTTTAATGAAGCTGATACTGATCAATTCTTCACACAAAGTTGAAACTAAAAGTCTTTGTTATTTTCCACTCTGATATTTAGTCCTTTCTTAAAAGCACTATAAATGTAAATAATAAGGCAAATGCAGCTTGCATGTTGAAAAAAATGCAAATGGGAAACACTGACTTATAACAGGCTTACTACAGGCTCACTGAATGTTGTCAATCAGGATAATAATTTACAAATCATGTAGGCCAAAGCATCTCTGATAATATCTTTATCTCTGTATTTTAAACTGAGCTAATCAAACAGTGCACAACCCTTCTGGAGTATGGTTATTTCATTGTAATAGTCCAAGTGTTGTTTGGGACATTATGCTATGTCAAAATATTTGGATTTCTAATAGTAAACCTACTTAGACAATAATAAATCTACTTAGACATCATCAATTCTAGGATACCAGCTTGCATATAGAGTGGCTGTATGGTGAATGCTCAAGAAACACATTTTATGCTTCAAAAACAAAGTAGTACAGATATTCTTCCTACTGATGTCAAACATTTTCCAGAATATTCCTTCTCTTCTGAACAATGGGCACAAAAGCCATGTATTCAAAAATAAACACTATACTGCTACAGTTTGCTGTAGGACCCTCCTCACTAGAATGCACAGCAGCCAACCAACAAGAGATATTACATCCCAGAAATTTCAACAGCCCGTGATCCCATAATTCTGCCTAAGTATGCTTTATACAAAAAAAGTGCAACTACTGAAAAAGGCCAGTTGATGGCAATCTATATACATACATCCCAATCAAGAACTCCAACTTCCATCAAAATGTAATAATAATTTTTAAAAAGCACAGCTGATGAATTTAGCTTAATATACAGACCTTTCAAACTAATATTAGAACAATGATCCTCCTTCAAAACAATAATCACAAAATGATAATCACAGCTTACTAGAGTGGTTCTATAGAGCTACTATCAGTTAAATGAACTGCTTGTATAGAGTTTCTCTACTGCACTACAATGTATTAGCAAGTGGACTTTACCTTCTCTACTCATAAGAAAAAAACATTAATTTAAAAAATATTACAGATGAATACCAATGTATGAATGTATACACACATACAGACTATTTTTAAAGAAAGTACTTATTTCTTTGGATCTATATCAATGTGTTGTTTTACATGTAATTCACTTATGAAATGTTTAAAATATTTGAAAAAAGAAATTATGAATTTCTCTTAGTTGAATATAATCCATAACTAACTAACACCGAAATACAAAGGGGAAACTGGTTATTGACTTTACTCTTGAAAATTTGATTAGAGTTAAGTACAAAAAGAGACTATAAACTTGGGGAATTTCAATTGTTCAGTACAATGGGGCAATTAAACCAACCCATTTTGTCAAATTATAAAGTGCTAAATTAATATGAGATGAAATGCCTGAACATGCTGGTGCCAATAGCTACTGGCAGACAGTCCTAAAGCTAAAGTACTAATGATATAACAACATTTACAGACATATGGAAATATTGCAAATTTTCTGTTTGTTTCTATGAAACAAGCAGGCATGGAAAACAAATAGTAGATTCAAGCATTCCATTGTGAAAATTTGCAACATATTTCTGCAAAGGGCAATACCATCTGCTTCCATTGGCTAGTATCATAGAGCAGATGGAATTATTTTCACACCAGAAGAGGCAACTCTTTCTGTACTGCCAGCTGATGGTACCATCTAATTAGGTACTTTACATTTACAACTCCAGGAAAAGAAACCAACTAAAACATAACAAAAAGGCTTAGGGAACCACAGCATCCTTTAAGTTTGTAGATTAAGTAATGTCACATTCAGATCTTTTCTTTTTCAGATAAATGAGCAATCATGTTATATGATAATATTAATTGTAAAAAAATACTGTGTAAGTAAATATTTGTATTATAAAAAGCATGAATAAATATTATAATCACTTGCAATAAATCTATTGTTTATTCTATTTTAAAGATAATACAACAACATTGGATGTTCATTATGATAATTTAGGAATATTATCCTGTACAAAGCTTTTGTCATTTCAGTTACAAGTGTTTTTGATCAGGCTGGCTTAGCTAGCCTTTCTGGAACCTATTTGCACATCATTATCCATTAGGGGTTTCTAGTGTTAATATGATCCAAATCATTAACCACTGTTCAGTACATATTCCAAATCAGTTAAAACATATGAGCTATAAATGTGCTCTCAAGCAATAAAGTGCTTTCTATATAAAATTAATACAATCAAAGCAATCTATTTCCAAGCGCACTAGCTCTGAAAATGTAAGAGGGTAATATGAGAAAACTCAACAACAACATGCAGCCACCAACATGGCTACCTGAAACAACATAATTCCTTTAGTTTGAAACTTAAGTTGTATTTTTTTTATTGATATTTTTAAAGAAATGCAAAAACAATGAATATTTTGCTATAGCTTCAAGATTTTTTTTTTAATTCTGCAATCTTTTTAATGTATGCTGATATGGTTAAGATATTGAATCTGGGCTGGGAAGACCTAGGACTCAAGCCATGTAAGCTTATTACATGACAGTGGACAATTACTCTAACTCAGTCCTATTAATTTCATAGGGATAGTGTCATAGGGGAAAAAAATGAAGATAGGAATCTCTGAATATTATCTTGAGCTCCTGGGGAAAAGTGAGATACAAATCTAGCAACTTTATAAATAAAACATAAATACAGTATCAGTTTCTATGGTTATTTATTTTACCTTTGTTTATTCTTTATTTATTTATATTTCTCTTTTATAACATATAAAATAAGAAAGATAGCATCAGATATTTCCATAGGAGGTACCTGTTGATTGGTCTACAATTCTCATTTTGAGGCTATTGCTGCATTTTAGGTAATAGTCTAGATTAATGGAAAAAGCAACAACATATTGGGATTTGAAAATTAAAGTTGAAATACTTTGGAAGAAAAAGTAACTACAATGAGTGTAGTATGACTCTTAGTGTTATATTAAAAGGGTTGTCCCAAAATAATTTGAAGCTTTAATTTTATTGGATTTATTGGATTGACTCTGCTTAGAATTTCCTATGTACCACAATACTGCCTCTTCTTGAAATACAAATCACTGAAAAATACCAAGACTACAGGCTGTGATTTTAATGGATGAAAATGAAAAATAACTAAGCTGATAGTTCAGTAGTAAAACACATGCTTGTACAGGTAGTCCTTGATTTACAGTTACAACTTAGCCAAATTTTCTGTTGCAAAATTTGTTAAGTGAATTTTGCCCATTTTATGAACTTTCTTGCCATAGTTGTTAAGTGAATCACTGCACTTATTAAGTTTTAACATGGTTATTAAGTTAATTTGGCTTCCCCACTGACTTTACTTGTCACATGACCCCTGGATCCTGCACCTATCATAAATATGAACCAAGCATCTCAATTTTGATCACATCATCATGGGATGCTACAATGGTTGTGTGAAAAACAATAATGTCACTTTTTTTTAGTGCTGTTGTAATTTTGAATGGTCATTAAATGAACTGTTGTGAGGACTACCTGTATGCAGGTGATATTGGTTTCTATCCTGTTATTTGAAATAAAAGATTCAGGTAGCAAGGAATAGAAAACTTTTGACAAAGTTATATACTTTCTGATAGTTAAATCTGTTAGATAGATAAATTCTTTAAAATTGTTTATAGCTTCTTCTGTAGGATTGTTTTACCTCATTTTTTTCCTTCTTGCACTTGAATTTCCTCCCCTCCCTCACTTCAAATTAGTATTGATTGCTGAAAATTCCCTGGGCAAGTCCCTGCATTTTAATTTGCAAGATTTTGAATGGGTTCCCACTGTTTTGTTCCTTGGGCTGAAATAATGTGACTGGCT